AATTCCAGTGTCTGTAATCGCTGATTAAGATATATAAGTGATATGAATGGCAGTGGTACATTATTTGTCTTACATGTATCATAGTGTGGAGTATTTATTGTATCATTATTATACAATGCTGACCATTAATATAATGTATGCTAATAGTTTTAACTTTTACCAAAATATATTCCAATGGTGAATAAAGATAGAGATATATTTATATTTCAAATATGCAATTATGGCCGCCAGCAATTAAACATATCAGTAAAACATATCCATTATCCTAAAAGTACTATTCTACCTTGTTAAACTAAACCAAAATCCTGTAGATACATCAATAGTATATTACTATGGCACCAAGTATGTATGCATTTAAGTACTGTTTAAATAATCATGCGATTAATTCGTAGGACATTACAGTACCTTAAGTGCAGAATTGTTGCTTTTAAATTACGAAAAATTTTAATTAGTAGTGGAGATATGTTGTTTTATGTTATTATGGCGGCCATTTTGAATTTATGCTAATTAGAAAAAATACCCGAAGGTCTTATTATCATGTAGATTCATCACGTGTGGCCATAGCGAAATCCATCAAAATATTTTGTAGATCCAGTTGGTCACCTTGTCTACCAGGCTAAACCCAGTGTAAATAAATACTATGCAAAGCATTCGTAGTTTATTTATCTGATTATGAACGTCATCGCTTCATAAAGCTTGTATTTATGTAGGGTAGTATTTTGTTTAGTATAGCTTGCATATATTAAAATAGTCAATTATTTCAATCAATCCCTATGGAACAATACAACATTTGCCATAGAACAAAATTTCCTCAGATATATGTGTGTAATTTGATGTGTGTCTTGCGTGTGTATGGGTGGATGTGTGTGTGTGAGAGATTAAAGTTGATTGTGATATATATATATTGATTAATTTAGTATACTGGTATGAATGGATACACGCGCACCTATTTTTAGCGGACCGCATTATCTTCGTAATCATAAACCGCTGTAGCCCAAATATAGCGATGAACTGAACAACGAAACACGGTTTGTTCATCTCGTCGTTGACTGTATGTGTGAAATGTCACTACTACATCATGATGACAGCGAGGCTCGGCTCTTTTTAGAACATTCCACCACGTAAGTACTAATTGTAACCTGTGTAAGCAACGCCTGGGATACAGATATTTGTCAGAGAAATGTTAATATACGCATGCAACCTGTATTTTATATAACAGGTCTGTGTCGCACAACAAACGGATCAAAATAGCAACAAAATGGCGCTCCCCATCATATAACACGGTCTCAAGTCCTAATGAGCATGGTTGCATTCTTTTTGCTATGTGTAACTAATAACTGGATAGCACAGTGTAGCGATCACCTAACACGATCACGGTAGTTCAATAAGCGTTATGAAGCCTGACATGTAATTGCTAGTGTGGATAAGTTTACAAAGCATATGAAGTAATACACTCTATATTCTTGTTTCCAGGAATCTACAGACACTAATGCATCTATTGAAAGCAAACACTGGTTCGGGATTTTGGGGATTGGCGTACACTGTGATGAATGCCGGGATTTTGGTACGAATTTTATGATATATATCAGACATTTCTATGAAAATAAATGTTGTGTGATGATGTGGCATAGACCATATGTTACCATCTGTTGAATAGCGATATTAAATATTATAACGCAGAAACAGAGCTTGCTCGCAATTCAAGTAAAATTATAATGCAATTCGTCATGTTTATAAGGCCATGAGCAAAATTGTGTCCCTTGACCTCACTCATTTAGCATCTTATTACTGGCTGTACCCAATAATGATTAATATTAACACAAATGATATCAGACACTCACCAATACGCGACAAGATGCATTTATTATTAGACCAAAACAAATCGCACAGAATCAGCGACTAGACTAGAGCATAGCCTTTTTGTATTGCGTCAATTTGATCAAACCATTGTGATCATAGGGTGTTTGGTACTATCACTTGAATATATTTCGAATCAATTACTTTGCTATAAGCATTAACACAAACGCTATTTTGACGAGATCACTTATCAAATATTAATTTATTAAAACCAGAATAAAAAAAAACTCAAAAATTACAAATCAGATACTTCTTCAAATAATTGTCTAACCTTATTTGAAAACCGAACACCGAGTTTATATAAGCTTTTTAGAGGTTATAAACGGCACGCGAGGGTATTTGGTAGCGGATATACGACCTCTCAGGGGGAAAACTAGCATATTTGGCGGGAAATAATCACCGAGCGCAGCGATTATTTAACAAAATACCCGAGCGTACCGTTTATAACCCCATTATAATATGACAACGTTGAATATTTAATGGAATACGACATCTTTCCGAAACAAAGTGTGGGGAGGGATGAAAAACCACGTTCTAGGGCCTCGTCATACACATTTTCAGTCCTCGGGGCGGAGCTACGTCACAAAACGCGCACCACTGTGCCACGTATTTCTGTGGGCTCTGCGCGCGCTGCTGAGGAACGCGGAACGCCGAGATAAGAGCCGGTGAAAATTTGAGAAAAGAACAGGAACTCAACTTCCATGTAATCCCGAAACAATCAAATTTATATACGTTACACACGCAGGGGTAATCTTGTTACACTGTTCAAGGGAGTGTCAACAACTATCCCAAAGTACCGTTTTCTGGCAGTTTTTGGCCTCTGTTTTCACCGTGATGGTTGCCATGCGGTGAAAATGCCTGTATGTCCGCCCCCGAGAGTAGAAATCACTCCGAGACAGCACGTTCGCACAGGCATGTAAATCTAAGATAAAATGATAAAACAGATTATTATAAAATTGCAAATATTCAAGTTTATTACTTAAAATACACCGTCATTAAATAGAAAAGGTTTATACAAATATAAAACAGAAAAAATATACACTTGAATCGACATAATAAATATCGCGGATTAATACATTAACAAATGTTAAGAGTGGTAAATTTGAACATGGTGGTTTGACATTTTTCAAATTGTCGTTTTTGAGGATTTTAGTCTGGTTTGGGAGAAATATAATTGCTAGTATACACATATACAGAGCCTCCGAAATTGCAATTTTGAACAGGTTTTCTGTGGCGACTGAGCTCGAGCATACCGTTTTACTTGTGAGGATATTTCTCTAACACTGTACTTGAACCATGCCCGTCATCATCTCCCCCAAAGTATTGTGCGTGTGTGTACCAAGTTGTTTCCCTACCTGTAAAGTTACTAATAGGCCGCTGGAAAAAAGCATTATTGCTTGGGTGAAGCTTACTTGTATAATTTAGAATGGCCATAACAGGACAAAGTGGGAAGTCTGTTTTGTACATCCGTTTCTCTGATTCAAAGTCATCCTTCAAATCCCCGGGAAGGTTTTTGATTGCTTCCAAAAAGGCCAAAGTGATATAATCCTGTCCCCTGTCATCTTTCTTTAAAACAAAACTCTCTTTGTGTAAATCCCGAAGACCCACCCGTCCCTTTCGGCAAAAGAAAAACTCTACATAAAACCACAACAAACGTAAAAGGGACATCGGGTCACGGTCGTACAGTGTCCCGCTGGTAAACATCTTACCCATGTCTCCCGCACTGATAACCGTTTAGTGTTGGATTTTATGAATCCCCTCCCGCTTCAAACTTGTTACTTTCCCTCTAAATACATTATTATCAGTTTGGAATTCCCGATCTTTGATAATGTTAATGGGGCGATTGAATGGAACGTTGGAAATGTGCCGATGGATTGCTGCTCGAATTGCAGTGTAGTTTCTTATGCTGTATTCTTTCCCGTCTCTAGCCCTGACCTCGGCATAAACATGCTTCAATATTTTTGCCAGCTCTTGCACTTCCACCATTTCGACGGCTGGGTCGATTTTCCGTTCAGAACACCACACTGTACAAACAAAATTATTTTAGTACAGAAATTGGGCCATCATGGGGTCAAACGTTCAACGCATTGTTTACAAACAACGAAAATGGCGGCGTACGCCGGTACAAACTGTAGTTTTGATATGATATTTTTTTTTTTCAATTTTGACTTTATCACACTTACATTTGAGTAATTTCACACCCCATTTTGTGGAGGCGTTAGTATTCACTTCACTTCAAGTTTTCGACCATTTCTTCGGGAAATTCTGGGAATTTTTGGCCTCCGGCAGACACCGGCATCTGTTGAAATGGCTCGCTGTTACCGCCGGCGTTTTGTTGCTCCCATTCAATTGTAGCTTGAAGAAGTTCTTAATCAGTAGCGTCAATTTCATCCAGCTGGTCCCATTTGAAGTTGAGATCAAAATTTATCTGAGGCTTGTCGTCTGACATAATTACTATGTGCTGAAGATGCCGCTAGTGACTTGCAGACGACAATATTTATCATATTTCAATCCAGTTTATTCTAGTGTTTGTTTTATTAATTATTCATCAAACAGGGTCCAAGTCATATAATGCCAGATATAAACCCTGGCTTCAGCCAATCAGATGGCTAGATTCACACTGGTCATCTTATAATTCCGATTACAATACAAACGTTACCTTTATTCACTCATGTGCAGTGTTACACTTTCCACAAAGTGTCAATAGAGGGCGCACGTCAATAAAAGACAGCAAACTACTTGAACACACATTATGTGATTATTTACCACGAGAATGTCATTTATTTCGATTATAAGCTGTATAAACATAAACGATGAACATACAAACACAACATTCTTACGACATTGTGCTTACAGCTTGGACCAATAGCGTTGGTCATCATTGGAATTATATGCACACATAGTATGAAGATATTGGCTGACAGCAGTCACGCCCTCTGTAGGCGGTAAGTAATATATACTTCATATTGTATGTATAAGATTAAAACTATTTATTTATATCATATAGCGTGTTCCAGAAAGATTATGCAAGTAGTTGCACTGTACTTTTAGAAGTGTTTAAGATCTGAATGGCGAATGATTATTACTACAATATTGCAAAATACAAAAGGCAGTTCTACAAATACGTTGGCTTCCAAAGCGTGTGAACATTTTCTTTTTGTAATTTGAGCTACATGCGACATATGTGTGTCAAAACCAAAAATAAATAACGGTAAGTATACATGTATGTTTGTTTCAGAAATGGGAAAATGTTTCTTGACTACGGCGATGTTACGCATGAGGCCATGCGGTTGTCATCTGTAAAATGGTTTAATTCCTATGGCAGTGTAGGCAGGTGAGATTCATTCATCAATAACACGAAGTCCCATCACTGAGTAAGATCAGCAATTGAATGATGTAGGTTATATGAAATATTTCATAACGTGAATATATTCAGAAACAAGTTATTGGTATATTAAAATGTATACATACGAAACAATAATTATATTAACAATCTATTGCGTTAATATGGTACGTGCACAGCTGATTTATCAAACGCTGCGTTTTTTGTTTTTGTTTTTTGGTTAGTAACGTGAACCAATTATAAGATTGGGTTTGAATCAATTCCTTACCCGTATTTCGACACATCGTTTAAACCACAGTCCTCTTTTTTGTGAATTATGTAAAATGATTCGACTGAAACCTACTGCAAAATTAATAATAATTTCATCAATGAATCGTGATGAGAAATATAGGGTAGTCTGCATTTATATACAAAATATTACAATGCGTTCTGTAAATACTTCGATACTCGCTCGAACGTTATTACCAATGACTTGCAGAATGTGTGATTCGACTGTGGTTTGTCAATTCCTTATTGATTGTAATCATTTTCTAACTGTCTTTTTTACATCTTTCAGGGCAGTAGTGAATACGTTCCTTCTTTTCATTCAACTTGGGTTCTGCAGTGCATATTTCATATTTATAGCTTCCAACGTTCAGCAGGTATATATGAATTAGAGCTTTATAACAAAACTGTTACTTACTGTAAACACTTGCTATGTGCGTGACTGGGTCGGACGCAAACCGATAGCACTACAACCACACGACACGCGAAATTCCGAGGCTCCCATACAGCCGACAGACATCCCCACAAAGGATTATAATACCGAACTTACGCTTATTTTGAAATTAATGAACTTTAAAATCCGTTTATATTTGTTCACAGTTCACAATACTTAACCCCATGTCTGTCAAATTATTGGTTAAATATTTGATACATCTGACGATTTTTGTAAATACAATGTCAAATGGTTATAACATGAGAACAGAGATGTTAGTTTATTTTTAAATAACATTACTTGCTAACTTAAAAGTAAAAGGTTTAAACTGCACTCTCATAATTCAACATCACTATATACCTATGAATACAAACAACATTTTAACTGACACGTTTTAACTTAATGTTTGTTTTTATTTGTAGGTGTACCACAATTTCCATAAAAACAACACTCCTGCGATACAAGTATTCATGGTCATACTTGCCGTCTTTATTATTTTATATTGCTATATCAGAAATCTAGATGATTTAGCAATTTTTTCAACTGTTGCCAACATTATAGTAGTAGTGGGAGTGATTATCATATATCAGGTACGTTTTTAGTAAGAAATACACATGTGAGAAAAATATAGAATACTACTGTTTGTGCGTTTTATCTGTGTTTGGCCGCCCTGTTAGTTCTGAAATCTCAACACGATGACATTCAACTTGCAAAAACGAGAGTTTCAAATCAAAGATGGCTTGCTGGCGGCCACAATTTCGCTTTATTAGGATCACGTGTTATATTGTATCGTACGTATTGGACAAGTAATTTTATTGAGACTTTGTGCATGGGCGAAACATATTAATATGG